CAGTCCAGGACTCCTTAAAAATACTCGACCTTTCTATATAATGTGTTGATAAGAAATTATGTTCAAAATAAAAGGAAAAGGATTCCCAACTTTTGTGACTGGATATTTGTATTTTTGTCAGTCATTGTGGACTTTAAGTTGAGAAGTATAGATCAACGTTAAGAATGACTTTATATTATGATACTGTATTTAATTAATTAGAAAAACAAATTCTACATTTGTATGCACGAATTAACACAACTTCAAAATATGTTGTTAGGTGCTATTTAGTTCAATAACTCAAGGTGGCCTTATGCATAACATAATGGAACATTCCCTATTCCTGAGCCATCCTCATAATTTTGTGCAAATTTGAGTCCATGGTTGCAACTATTATATCAATTCATGTAATTAAGTGTTTTCCTACATTTCATTTGACCTCTATTTAACCAAAATAGGCAACACATAAAACAACAAGACATAAAACGTAATTTTAAAACAATAAGAGCATAGCTGAAGATATAAATGCTATTCAGTTGGTAAATTAAAATGAGACAAAGATCTTTAAATTATAAAATATTTGAACAATAATGTTTAACTAATGTGTCTTAAGCAGCATATATAGAATATTGCTCCCAATGATGTAGATACATTTATTTCCAAAGTGTATGTTTTAATTATTCCAAAATAGATGATATGCTTAGTCCCAAATCAACATATGTCAGCAACACCTTTGACATCATAGTGTGTTGTTCAAGCAGAAGTGAATAATAGTGGTAATCAATTTAACAGCAACAACAACACAAAGGCAAATAGCACCTCTAAGAACCAAGGAGAAACTTCCACATTGTCAACAGTTTCTGTGTGATTGAACAACAGATATTGTAGAACTTTTCTATATGGACAATTTTACAGGTACTAGTTTAATGCTTTATGTGCTCCATTAAGTCACCCTGTCAAAGACTATGAGGGTGGACCTTTTGTTAATATGTTAAATGTTGAAGAAACAGAGGCACAAAGGATAAAGTGATATATCTGTGTTCACAGGCTGCTAGGTACAGATCTCTGTGACTAGTCTGATAAATAGCATCCCATATCATTTTGTTGATCTGTTAGACAATTTCAAAAGAGCTATTTTGTCCATTACTCAAATTCTGTGGAGTTGGTCTGACTAGAAATATTTCATTTTTTCAGTTTTTCACTTTATGAATAACAGGAACAACTGTGTCCTCAAATTGGCTGAAGTGGGACACTTGGCCTTTCCTTTTTTGCTCCACAGTCTCTAAAATCCACCAGTTTTCTCCTAAGGAATGCACAAAATGTTAGAAAAACTATGATTAACTTATGTTTAAATCATTTCAATCTTCAATTTTCTTTTAATAGGTTCATATACATTAGTATTTCTTGACATACAAATGTTGGGTTCATGTATAACAACATTTTCACTCTCCATCTAGAGCCAATTATATACTTGAAATTACCCCTGGGCATTGGCTATTATTGGTTGCAAAGGGCTCTACTCCCAGTGGTATACTATAGTTCCATTATCATCCTCTTGCTTTTAGATATAACTGAATATAGAGATTATGAGTATAAAAAAGAATGATTCCTATCTGGATATCAGTCATTTCAAGAATTATGCTCACTCATCATTGTCTGCATTTAAAGTATCTTTGTATCCTTAACAGAAATCCTAGGTTTGCCTAAGCAACATGAGAAATGACAGCTTGTGAGTATCTATTGTTATTCATTAATTATTTTTCTCTCCTCCTTCACTCCTTGAATTACCAATTTCATTCATCTCCAATACTGCTTATTGGCTTATTGAGAGACATTGTAAATGAGATTGAATGACAAATTTAGATAGGAGGATTCCCACAACATGAACTTTCTTTTTATTCATTACATTTAAAAACTTAATTCTATTCGTGTCAGTAGAATTGGTAGTTCATGATAACTCAGAGTGAGCAGATAGATAACAGGATCTGTCCTTGCTGATGCCAAAAACACAGGTCAGTGCAGCATTTGTTTAATATACCATCCATAATTTCAATGTATAGTTTTATAGTTTAAATTTATGCTAAAATATTAATTTATATGCGTTAAACCTAGAAATAATTATTTTTGTGCATTATTAATATTCATCCCATTATTTTAATATTAGTTTTCATTATCAAACACTCAGATGTATATTCTGATTGTACAGATTGATGAAATGACTGTTGTTGTTAAGTACCATTGAGTGGATTCTGACTCACAATGACCCTATATGGGTTTTCAAGGCAGTAAATGCTCACAGTAGTAAAAAGCCTCATCTTCTTTCCCCACAAGAGCAGCTTGTGAGTGAGTTGGTACTCAATGTTTATGCTACAGATTTATAACACTTCCCCTAATTGGTTTAAAAGTAAATTATATGCACAATTATTTTTATTTAAATTATAATGCAAGGCCATTTTTCTAGCATATCATGAGGACATGCAAATATTTGTTCATGATTTCTTGAATAATGCTACCACTATGACTGTTCCTAATGTGTAAGTATAATTCATCTCAAAGCATTTTGAAAGATCAATAAAATTATAAATAAATATTAGATGTATGTGTGTAAATTAGTAAATATATCAATGAACAAAATATATCTTTTAATTCTTTGACTTTAAAGTGTATCTTTCAAATCTTTGTAGAAAATTCAAAAGAAGAGTGTGTTTTTGCATTTTGAGAGATAAGGGAACCATGTAATATTCTAGTTGCCCATGATGACTTATCTAGTGTCAGATATATTCTATCCATCTACCAATTTTTAAATCATAAAATGGTGCAAGTATTTCAAATCCTCCTCAAACCAATGGAGAACATTTTATATGGTCATATTCATTTAATAAAGCAGAATATGCATTAGAAAAAGCTTAGCGCTGTGTTTTCCATTTTTTTCCCTTTCTTAAAATTAGTTTGTACTATAGATATGACAGGTCAAAATTGTAAGTGATGAATTGCCTCCTTAATATACTTATCCATGACTGATAATTCTCAATCATGTTTCTTCAACAAAGATAAAATTTTGAGTTTATCCTGTATTTGAAATATTTTACAATTATGAAATTAATAACAAAAGTGTTAATAAAAGTTTATATATATAAAGGTGCTGAGGTTTAAAGATTCACCCATAGCTGCATAATAAGTAAATGGTAGTCAGAAAACAAAACATACCTTGAAATCTGTAAAGTTCAATAAAATTTCCGTAAGTAGACTTATTAAAAATAACAACAAGGAAAAAAAAAAAAACTTAGTAAATAAGTTGGATAAGTCTCACATTATTTGTTTTGAAATATGTACAGATTTTATGCAAAAATAACAATATCTTATAAAAATTATTCTTAACTTGCAATGAAATATATTAAAATCTATTATTTGTAATTTATAGAAATATGGATATGAATTGTGGTGAATCAAAGGAACCCATGAATCAACCAATCAACAATCAATCACATTTTCAGGTAAGTTCAGTATTCCTTAGTATTTTAAGACCCAAGTCATTAAAATATACATTTGTGGTAAGAAAATGCTTTTGGGTGGAAAATTCAATTAGTAAATATTTAAATGTAATTTAAAACATAAATGCATCTCCCTTCCAGTAACTATCACCAAGGGAATGTGTTCTAAGCAATAAATTAGTATGCAGTGATGCTTCAGCTCTGGATCACTGTCACATAGCAGTGAATCCAAACACCAGGCTCTTGTGACTTCTACATTATTCAGAGAGAGTGCTAGAATGAATGAAACAGATGAATGGTCACCCTGAACTAGGAACATAGATTGTTTTGTTGGAAAACTGAAACTGGTAAATTCTGAAGATCTGGTAGAAAAAAAGGCAATCTGTTCTCTGAGCACATAAGCTTCACGTTGAATGAGTGCTTTTCTTATATCGCCATAGATTAATAAAGTCACTTGCCCAGTTATTTAATTTTAAAATTGTTACTATAATTTTTCAATCTGTGTAAGTATAATGAAAGTCACATTTTATTACATAACATGTGAATACTGTAAATTAAATACACTATACTAAATAAAATATTATATTAGGTTATTTAATAAAGTGTTAAATTTTCTTAGCCCAGATACCATAATAATTAAGGAGCTCTGGTAGCATAATGGCTATGAGTCGGGCTGTTAACCTCAAGGTCAGCAGTTCAAAACTACCAGCTATTCTGCAGGAGAAAGATGAAGTTTCTACTCCAGTAAAGATTTACAGCCTCAGAAACCATTATACAGGGTCACTGAGTCTGGACTGACTCCATGGCATACAACCACCATCATCAGACACAGTAATTATACAAGTGAATTGCAGTAATAGCAGTTTTGTGGTGGAAATGGATATAAAATTAATTTTTGCCCTTGTAAGCAGAAAATAGATTAAAGCTACTCATAGATTTTTGAGATATTCCAATAAAATCAAAACCTCCTATCTCTATTTAGATTCTCTTTGCTCACCAATTACAATGTGCTAAATTTATTGTAAGTATGATGCAAATGCACAGAAATTACCTATGTTAACTAATACATTTCAGGAAAATCTTTTAATTTCATTAAACATATTGCACCACAAATTAGTCCCAGAAATGGATACCAATACAGAAATAAACTTAAATTTTGTTTTTTGTGGCATCCTGTTTTAGCATTGAAAGATAATGCACTGGACAGAAATGTCAGCCTGAACCACAAGGTCAGTAGTTCAAACCCACCAGATGCTTCTTGGAAACCCTAAACAGAGTTGTTATAAGTCTAAATTGGCTCAATAACACTTAACAACAAGAAGAAAGAAGTCACACAATCAAGGAGACTAAAGCAGATAAATTGGCATTTGACTATTTTATAAGCAAGAATTTCCAACTACAGAGAATGAAAGGAATAAATGGGAGTCAATAAATGTACTTAGACTAATTTTTTTTTCTCATTTTGATTTTTCAGATTATTTAGAGATTATTTATCTTTGTCTCTCCAAGTCATAACCAAATGATACTGAAATGCATAACTCTACCATAGTGACTGAATTCCTACTTACAGGATTTTCTGATGTGTGGGAGATCAGAGTCTTCCACACTATGCTATTTCTATTGATGTACTTGACTACTCTAATGGGGAACCTTCTCATAGTCACAGTAATCACCACTGATCAGAGTCTTCATACCCCAATGTATTTCTTTCTCTGGAATTTATCTGTCCTGGACATGTGTTATATTTCTGTCACTATACCCAAGGCATGTGTCATCTTGATGCTTAACAACAGGGTGATCTCCAAGGTTGGATGTGCAGCTCAGATCTTCTTCATATTATTATGTGCTTCTGCAGAGTTGCTGTTACTTACCGTAATGGCCCATGATCGCTATGTGGCCATCTGCCAGCCCCTCCACTATCACATGGTCATGAATCATCGTGTCTGTGTTCAGATGACCCTGGCCTCTGTGCTCAGTGGTCTGCTCTATGCAGGTGTGCACACTGGTAACACATTCTCTTTGTCCTTTTGTCAGTCCAATGTGGTCCATCAGTTCTTCTGTGACATCCCCCCTCTCTGGAAGCTATCTTGCTCTGACATCTTAAGCAATAAGATTGCAATGATTTCCTCTGTAATAATACTGGGTGGTGGCTGCTTTGCCTTCATCACCATGTCTTATATTCACATATTTTCTACTGTTCTCAAGTTACCAACCAGAGGAGAACGAGGAAAGGCCTTTTCCACCTGCATCCCTCACATTATCATAGTTACAGTCTTTCTCATATCTGGTGCTGCAGTGTATCTGAAGCCAACCTCCAACTCACTTCCAATCAAGGACATGGTCCTTTCTTCATTCTATTCCATAGTTCCTCCTTTCTTGAATCCTGTTATCTACAGTCTTAGAAACAAGCAGATAAATGAGTCTATAAAGAGATTTATGAGAAGAATAGATGTTCTACTAATGAAAACTATAAGATAATTATGTCAAGACACTCTTACATTGATTGTGAATTGAAAATGGTTCAAAATAATGTTATTATCTATTTCTAATTTGGGGGGACCTGACTTGAATTCTATTTGACAGTCATTGTATTTTGTGTTAGTGAAGCCTGTAGCATCATTGTCAAAACTTTTTTTTTTTTTCCCTAAACATTTGTTTTGATGTATTCTATTTTAAATGTTGAGTCTTCTGTAACTTTGATTGGCCAATGGTTAAGCACTCGGTCTGTATCAAATCCTCAGTGGTTCAAACCTATTAGTCACTCTTTGAGAGAAAAACCTGGCAAACTGTTTTCTGTAAGTATAATAGCCTTAGAAACACGATGGTGCAGTCAAAACTGTTTCTTATACGGTTACTATGAGTCAGAATGATTGGGTGATACAGAGTAACAATATAGTCTAAAAGTAAACTGTTAAATTGGTCTCATCTTTTTGTAAAACAAGGCATATAATCTGAAATATGTTTTTCTCATGAAATGCCATTCAGTCAATTTTGACTATTATAGATTTGTTTGGAAAACGTAAAACTACCCCATAGGATTATCTAGTCTGTAACATTTATGGAAGCAGGTCACCAGGTCTTTGTCTTGTGGAACTACTTGGAGGGGTTTTATCTGGCAACCTTGTGGTTAGCAACAAAGTATTTATTCTCACTAACGGATATCCTTAAACTTTACTTAAAATATTGCTAACAATGAACATAAAAACATCTAATAGCTGGTCATAAAATAATAGTTTAAGATTGTTTCTACCTTCTTTATAAGGAAGAAGCACCTGAGAAAGATGTAGTTGGTTAAAAAAAAAAAAAAAAAGATAACATATCTTTCTATTGGGCTCCTTGTGTGTGGTTCTGTGGGATATTCACTGGACTACTAATTACAAGATTGGCAGTTCAAACTAATCAGTTGCTCCTTGGATACCCTATACAGGGTCACTATAAGTCAGAAACACCTGATGGCACTTAACAACAACAACAACACACCTGCCTATACTTTACCTAGGGAGCCCTGGTGGTGCTGTGCATTAGGTGTTGAATTGTTAACCACAAATTCAGCATTTCAAACCCACCAGCTACTTCATGGGAGAAAGATGAGACAGTCCATATCCATAAAGATTTACAGTCTCAGAAACACTGTATAGAGTCACAGTGGGTTGGAATTGATTCAATGGCAGTTGGTTTGCTTTATTTGTTTTGTTTTGTTTTATGCTTTCCATGGTGTAGAAAGATAAATTTGAGTGAAAAAATATTTTTACTGAAAACAGTGTTGCTATTAAGTGTCATCAAGTTGTTTTGACTCATCCGTACAACAGAATGAAACACTTCACCATCCTTAAATTACTTGAGCCCATTCTTGCAACAGTTGTATAAGTTTATGCTGTTGTGTGCCTTCCTCTTTTTGGCTTGTTATTGTTGTTGTTAAGTGCCCGGTAAGTCGGTTCCAATCCATAGTGACCCTGTATAGGGTTTCCTAAGAGTGACTCGTGAGTTGAACCACCAACCTTGTGGTTCAAACTGACTTTGTATTCCAGTGCATTAACCTACAGTGCCACACCAGGGCTCCTCTTTTTGGCTAACCTTCTCCTTTTTAAAGTATGATATCCTTCTCCAGGGATTGATCCCTCCTGTTGACATTTACAAAGCATATTTGATAAAAATTCACCATCTTTTGTTCTAAGGAGTATTCAGGCAGCACTTTTTCTAAGGCAGATTGGTTCCTTTGGCAGTCCATGGTATATTCAATATGTTTCACCATCATAGTTTAAATATTAACAGTCTTACTTCTTTCTTATTATCCAACATTTATTTTGCATGCTAAAAACATAATATGTGAATAATAGCTGTTATTTGCGCCATGTAAATTATCCATATGTGTGAACTGTTTATGGTTTAATAATATTTGTTTGAAATTAAACACTCTATGCCAAATAAACAAAAATATGGTAAATTTTGTTTTGTTTTTTCCCCAGTTTCATAATGTTTATTGTACATACTCTTAATATATTAAGTTGATAAAATAATAAATATATGTATTTAAATAGTTAAATATAGAGTTTGATCTTAACAAGTGGGCCAATTATTCCTATAGAAATACTGAGAGTTTTTACTAATATTCTCAGGTGAATGGGAAATTAATTGACCATATTTGCGTTGGTTTTTAATTTGAGACACGAGTTTCACAATTTAAAATTAGCTTTGCCGTTTCTGTTACTTTTGAGATTATTAATATCCTATGCTGATGTGTCATTAATGACAAAATGTAATAATTGAAAATTTAATTCTGTCTGCAAATTTTATATTACAAAGCATTATCAATAAAATATGATTTTATGTAAGAAGATGCATTTATAAATAATTTATATTTCTAGTCAAAGAAATGTAAAGTGTATCTAGGAATGCTGTTGTTAAGGGCTGTCAAGTCAGTACCAACTCATGTGACTCTGCATAGAGTTTCCGAGGACAAGCTGGTGGATTTTAACTGCTGGTCTAAGAATATATAAACAATAATGCTACATAGAATGATGTTGTTGTTGTTAAGTGCTATTGATTAATTCTGACCCATAGCGACCCTGTATAGGGGGGTTTCCTAGGAGCGTCTACTAAGCTTGAACCACTGACCTTGCAGTTCAAACTGACTTTGCACTCCAGTACATTATTAACCCACAGCACCACACCAGGACTCCATGACATTAAACTTAATTTGTATAGAGTTTTTAGTCAGCTATCATGAAGATGGTACATGACCAGACAATATTTGGTTTTGTTATACATAAAGTTGAAATGAATCAGAGGTTACTCAATGGTAACTAAAACCACAACATATTTTATGACTGGTTCATGAATTAGACCCATTTTTATACAGTTCAGTTTTAATGTCTTACCACTATACTTTGTAATCTTATTTTGAAATAGGATGGAATAACAAATAATAATATAGTATCACAATACACATTGAAAACAAACACTAAACAGAAAAGTGAAAACTAATGTCATAATCAAATAGTTTAAGATACAACTTGTGATAATTGATAGAACAAGCAGGTAAAAAGTAAAGATGGGAAAATTTGGGAACTGATAATGCTGGTTGTTGAATGATACATGCTATTAAGTTGTACATGTAAAATTTTTGTTGTTGTTGTTATTGTTAGGTGCCATCGAGTTGCCATCAACTCATAGAGACCTTGTGCACAGCAGAATGAAACACTGCCCGATCCTGGGCTAACCTCACTACTGTTGCCACGCTTGAGTCCATCGATCCTGCCATTTGGCCAATCCATCTCATTGGGGATCTTCCTCTTCTTCTCTGACTCTCCACCTTACCAAACATGATGTCCTTCTCCAGTGACTGGTCCCTCTTGAGAATATGTCCAAAGTATGAGAGACGAAGTTTAGCCATCTTAGCTTCCAAGGAGCACTCTGGCTGCACTTCTTCCAAAACAGATCTATTGATTCTTTTGGCAGTCCATGGCACTTCTAGTATTCTCCTCCAATACCACAACTCAAAGCCATCAATTCTTCTACGATCTTCCTTATTCACTGTCCAGCTTCTGTATGCATATGAGGTTATTGATAATACCATGGCTTGGGTCAGGCACGCCTTAATCCTCAACCTGATATCTTTGCTCTTCAACACTTTAAAAAGGTCTTTTGCAGCATATTTGCCTAATGCAATATGTCATTTGATCTCTTGATTGCTGCTTCTGTGAGTGTTGATATTTGATCAAAGAAAAATGAAGTCCTTGACAACTTCAATCTTTTTTTCATTGATAAGAATGTGTGGAGTTAAAGACTAACAGTATGAGCACTCCATGGAAACTTGTTACAAAAGGCAGACTCTCTCAACTCCAAAAATTCTAGTCAGAATCTGCATTTCAACAGGTACCTAGATAATTGATATTTATATTAATTTAAGAAGCTGGGTTACAAGTTTAGCTGCTAATCATAAGCTCAGCAGTTTGAATCTACCAGTATTGCCATAGAAGAGAGATGAGGCTTTCTTCTCCTGTAAAGCTTTACAGCCCTGGAAAATGTATACTGGATCCCTGAGTTAGAAATGACTTGACAGTGTATCACTACCACCACCACCATCTCTGGCTTATGTGTACATTTTATTGGTGTTGTTTTTGTTGTTAAGTGCTATCAAGTCGGCCCCCACTCATAATGACACTGTAAAATGTTTACAAGGTACAGCTGGTGAGTTTGAAGCACCAAACTTGTGATTCAAACTGTCCTTGAAGTTCAGTGTTTATCCTACAGGTCATATCAATTACAAAGGAATAGCTCTGTGGGTTAATGAACTGAACAGCAAGGAAGCTTTGAACCATAAGGTCCATGGTTCAAGCTTACAACCAGCTGTTTCTCAGAAACCCTATACAGGGTTGCTATGAGTTGGTACCAACTCAATGGCATTTAACAAAAACAACATATGATATCCCCAGGAGTCATGGTGGCCCTGTGAGTTAATGCGCTGAACTGCAAGGCCAGTTTGAACTGCAAGGTCAAATGCACTGAACTGCAAAGCCAGTTTGAACCGTAAAGGTTCAAGCACACTAATAGCTCCCTGGAAACCCTGTACAGAGTTGCTATGGGTCAGAACTGACTGATTGGCACTTAACAACAACAATATCAACAACTGGCACCCCTACTGCTTTCTTGATGGAATACCAGAACCTCAGTAGTTTGATTTATCTGAGACAATGGTATCTCACAAAATAATGCTTTTAGGTCCAATAACTTTATGAGGTTCTTTTGAAATTAAAGAATATATATATAAAATGTCAAGTTAAAATGTGTAGGTTTCAAAACTGAAGAAAAGAACAGAAAGCCTTCCTAGAATCTCAAGAGAAGGCATCAAAAGACAGAATTAAAATTATACATGCTCTTTATTGACTATGCAAAGGCTTTAGACTATGTAGACACTGACAAACTATGGATTCCACTAAGGAGAATGAGTATTCCAGAACAAGTAGACAAAGAGGCAG